TTTAACCGGTTTTTAGTCCCTCTTAAAGAGTTAACTAGTTAATGCTCAAGGGTATATACGTAAGGCAGACACCTCAGGGTTAGTGACTGTCTCTTAGTCGTGTTTTATATCTTGGGAATAAATTGATACACATAAAATGTTTTTCTGGGGCGTAAGTTGTCTTAATTCTCAAATTTTTTTTCAAGATCTTGGCGTCTAATTCTCTTTCAGCTTCTAATTCTCACAGTTATTAAGATCCTGGTGTCTAATTCTGACTTACATTCTAATTCTCACAGGTATCAAGCTTCACTCTACCTGTCCCTTACATAACGCATTCATCTAAACAACAACAAACACCAATTTCGGATGAATTGGACAATGGGTAAAATATATATAATTAAATATTTATAGTAGGGAGGAATGAAAGAGATTTACGTAATTAGTTTGAATGACAATGTGAGGTAAAAGGTCGAGGGAGGTGGAGGGAGGAAGGTGTATACATATTTTCCAGGTTTATCGGGAATTTAAAGTTTTAGTTAGGGAATGGAAACGAATAACCTATCAGAAATAACTTATAAACAGATTAAAATAATAAAATATAATAACTACTTAGGGTGATTGAAAGGGGTTTAATTTATTTTGATGTGATGAACGTAATTAGTTCAACCGGTACCTATATTTTCCAACCATGGCGGGGCGGGAAATGAAGTTGGATGACAGGGAGGATGTCAACAAGAGGGAAACGGATATTGCATTCTATTCTACAGTGTTCTCTCTCTCTCTCTCTCTCTCTCTCTCTCTCTCTCTCTCTCTCTCTCTCTCTCATTACCTGTTGTGGAAAATAACAGTTACCTGCATCCTGGGTTCATTGACTTAGCTGGTGATTTCAAGGTCGTCTCACCTGTCACCTCAGTGGATTCTCAAAGGTCATGGATACTTTCTAGCTTGAGGGGGGGGGGTGACCTTGATCGGTGACCTCTGACCTTGGTATTGTTCATCCAATGTTGACCAAAAGTGTACAGGGTTGAGATATTGCCGGGGTCGACTAGCTCTGAGAATTTGGTCAAGGTCGGGTGAGAATTGTGGACAGGCAGACAGACACAGGTAGACAGAGACAGACAGACAGACAGACAGAACCGATCATCAACCTCAGCGTGTCAAAAGTAAACGTACGATCTCTTAAAACGTCCACCACACCTTGATGGTTACTACAATAAGCTCCACAACCTTAACACGCCAAGTTCAAATTTACTCAGCTAACGGTAGACGGACAGACAAACAGCGAGAGACTTTTAGCTGTCATCACGGGGAAACTAGACAAAGCTACTACACCCAGCTATGACACGGCAAATTCTCTCCCTCTCTCTCTCTCTCTCTCGCGTACAGTATTTTTGTATTTAATCTTGAAGTGAAGGAAGGTGTGTGTGTGTCTGTGTGTGTGTGATACAGAAAAATACAGAGACAGACCTACAGACAGACACGCTCTCCATCTTTCTGAACCAAGCCACCTCCGCCTCAAGGTCATCATCAAGCAGCACCCTACCTCAAGGAAGTGTTTTACCACTAGTAGTAGAGGTGTGTGTGAGGTACTGAGGCTTTAAAGACACGCTATCACCCGGATGCTTCAAGATTCTCTAGGTGTAATTATTTTCCTCTTTGCTGGTGATGTGTGAGGAAGCCGTTTGTTTCCCCGAACTTACGACAGAACGCATCTTTTACTCTTACGACAGAACACATCTTTTACTCTTACGACAGAACACATCTTTTACTCTTGCGACAGAACTCATCTTTTACTCTTACGACAGAACGCATCTTTTACTCTTACGACAGAACGCATCTTTTACTCTTACGACAGAACGCATCTTTTACTCTTACGACAGAACGCATCTTTTACTCTTACGACAGAACGCGTCTTTTACTCTTACGACAGAACTCATCTTTTACTCTTACGACAGAACGCATCTTTTACTCTTACGAGTGTACTCCTGAATGTGCTGCTTAAGGATCTGTTAACCAAAATTTGATATCTTGATTATAACTTGTTCAAATGGCTTTTAGAAAATGTTCAAATGATTTTTAGAATATTTTAATTACTTTTGCAATGCTAATTACTCGCCACTTATGGGTTTTCGAGGTCATTTCTTGGTGCTTGTGTATTATTCTGGATGTACTTAAATAGTTAGGCACATTAAATTTTAGTTCAGAGAGAAAACGTATTTTTGGCCAAAAATCCTTTAAGGCTATAGACTTACAATTTTCGTCATTTCGGCCAAAAAATGGATTTTGTTCAAAATTTCAGTATAGGTAGTTACGACAGAACGCATCTTTTTACGACAAGAACGCATTTTTTCACGTAACCTAAACCATTAAATTGTATTCTAAAAATTTCCTAAGTGTGAAGACTTTTTCTCTTAGTCGGGAAGATATGCCTTGCGAATCTTTACGAATAACGAACCGACATTCTCATGCGACAATAAGCACAACGAATTTGTCTCCCGTCACGAAATCTTACCACAACCTGACCTTCGCATTAGTGACAATCTATATATATATATCACAAAACGATGACATGTATATATTTTTTTTTACAGAATATCTTGCGTGTGTTAATGATGGTGGTAGTAGTTGTAGGGGTGGTAGTGGTGGTAGTGGGGGGTGGTAAAAGAGATTATGTGTGTGTATGAGAGAGAGATTTGAAAGGAATTCGTAGATGGTGATAATTTTTTGTGGTTTTTTTTGTATCCTCCTCCTCCTCCTCCTCCCTCCTCCTCCTCCTCCTCCTCCTTCCTCTTCTCTTCTTCTTCTTCTTCTTCTCCTCCTCCTCCTCTCCTCCTCCTCCTCCTCCTCCTCCTCCTCCTCCTCCACTACTACTAATACTACAACCAAAGCACACACACACACACACACACACACACACACACACACAAGGTCTTCTCTACCTGAATGGAACAAGTTATCTTTATTCACCTTCTAAACATCATAGACACATAACAGGTGACTGACGTAAGGGCGAGAGTACCAGCCTCCAGGTATATAGAGTATCGCCCATATTATAGGTGTGGGATGGCATTTTTTTTCCCCCGTCCTTATAAATGCTGCGACCACGCCCTTATCTCATAGTTACAGGATACGATAGATAGATAGATAGATAGATATATAGATAGATAGATAGATAGATAGATAGATAGGCCCTTTGTTTATCTGGGGCTTTCCTGTGGGCGTGAGGGCGGATGGTGGGGGAAGGTCACAGGGAGGGGGAACAGGAGGGGAAGGGAGATGACAGGAGGGGGAGGGAGATGACAGGAGGGGGAGGAGATGACAGGAGGGAGGGAGATGACAGATAGATGACAGGGAGGGGGAGGTAGATGACAGGAGTGGGGAGGGAGATGACAGGAGGGGGAGGGAGATGACAGGGAGGGGAAGGGAGGTGACAGGGAGGGGGAGGAGATGACAGGAGGGAGGGAGATGACGGAGGGAGGGAGATGACAGGAGGAGAGAGGATGACAGGAGGGAGGGAGATAACAGGAGGGGGGAGGGAGATGACAGGAGGGGGAGGGAGATGACAGGAGGGGGGAGGGAGATGACAGGAGGGGGAGGGAGATGACAGGAGGGGGGAGTGAGATGACAGGAGGGGGGAGAGGCTGAATTGGATTGGGCATGTAGTTTTGTATTTAGTTTGGTTGATGCGTACTGTGGTAGTGGTGGTAGTGGTGTTGGTCGTAGGGGAGGTGGGGTTTGTGGTGGTGGTAGTGGTGGTGGTGGCAGTAGATGTGGTAGTAGTGGTGGTGGTAGGGGTAATGGTGTTGGTTTAGACGGAAATGACGCAGGACCGATAGTGGTAGAGGCGCTAATAGTGGTTTAAATTGTGGTTGATATCACTTATGACAGTATATGGTAGTTGTGGTAATGGTATAGTAGTGACGGTGATTATCAAGGGTTGTGATTAAACCATCATCATCATTAAAGGGTTAAATCATCGTCCTCAAAGGGTTAAACCATCGTTATAAAAATATTACCTCCCAAAATTACGTTTTTTCCTACAAATTTACGCAATAGTTGATAACCACACTTAAAATAAATTAAATAACAAATATATGACAGTATGAATACATTGTGTATGAATGTATCAAGGTCACCCGTGTGCACGTATATATGTATGTCTGTAAATGTGTGTGTGTGTGTGTGTGTGTGTGTGTGTGTGAGGGACAGTTGGAGGGTGTATGAAATATATATATATAAATATATTATACACGTGTGCCAACTGTACATGGGGAGGATGGTCTCATTTGCATATACAGTGTTAAGGATGAAACAGTTGGTAGCCCTGATGCTTTGTTGACATGTCGTGTACTAATGGCGCAACACAGGTATAACAAAAATGACATCTATTTACAAGAACATTAAAGAAGAGAATTAGTTAAGGAAGGTATTGGATTATTTTAATGTTTTGTTACGTAGTTAATTAGAATATTTTGGTTAATGATTAATTATGAAATGATCCCCTGAAGATCGAACACCTGAGCTTATTTCACCTGAAGATTAACTACCCTAGCGTTAGATTGTGTAAGTTTAGGTTAGGTTAGGTTTCTCCTAGGGTGTCTAATCTCCAGGTGATTTGAAAACTATACCCGTAACCAACCCCCCAAATCACTCATTACACCTGACTAAATTATTCACCTCTTCCAGCGGATATTTCCCACATTAACACTGAAACAAAACACAGTCAAATGATGGTCTAACACAATACTGTATCCTTTCCAACACTGAATACACAACACTACACGCAACTCTCATATCCTATTGTCTAGCTAACTGTGTATACTTTCACGCTGGACTTTTGTTGTGGAGAAGCTGGAGTATGTCATTCGGTATCTCTGTCATTATACTGTATATCTGTATTTATCCATTTATCTCTATCTACATATTTATCCCCACTCTTATTTTCTCTTCCCTTTTTTTCTATCTATTTAATTATCTAATCTATCTATGTCTGTCTGTTAATCTATGCACCTAATCAACAGGTCAACCATGACGCGCTAACCTTCGACGGGCGGTTACAACACTAAGACGTTCCTCCCGCCGCCCGAAACTTCCACAGTCTGCCTCAAGATGGCCCAGCGATCACCAGGTGGCTCCTCTCTTCTTCTGTTGCCTCTCACTTGTTGCTGCCTCTTACGCCTCGCCCAGGTAAGTGTGACGTCACGAGAGGTTTGTTTTAAACAATTGTGTATGGATTTTAAGTATTTTTGGTGTGTATTATGGGGAGATTGTTACTTTTTATGCTACTGTGATTAATATGGGTTGTGGTATGTTGTGGGTATCTTATCCGTTTGTGTGGGTGTTTGTTTGTCCGTATGATGTTGGTCGTTATAGTGGATAGGTCCGAGCCAAACTTGGTATAGAGTTTTACTATTACTTAAGGAAAATGACTATTGATTTTCAGGTCAATAGGTCTAAGGTCAAGGTTACTATTACCATGAATAGTTCAACATTTTTCGATCGTTTTCTAAGATTTGTAACCATGGTGTGGGGATGGTCGAGAGTTTAAGCATTTTCTTATGGTTGGTAGTGAACATTTAGGTTTATTTTTTAATACGTCGGGCAGCAGTGTTGGTTGTGGGGATGTCGAGTCACTGTTCGAATCCCTGACAGGAGTGTTGTATCCGGAGCTTCGGACTAAACGAATCCATCACGTGGCCTCGGAAGCGAGCAGTACTACGTCATGAGTAGTTTAGGGCAGTCCCGCTCATTTGTCGTTACAATTATCTCTCTTGCTTTTGTCGACGACAATTTCTCTTCCAAATCTGTCGTCAACCTCCAGGAAATTCTGTCCATTTTTCTGTCAATTGTGAAGTAAGAAAAATAGTCTCTCACAATAGACTTCCGGCCGTACTTTTGTCTTGACGGGAGGGGTGGGAAAGTGTCTTGTGTTGTGTTGGCCGTAGTAGTAGTGGTAGTAGAGGGTTGGGTGGTGGTAGTGGTGGAGGCTGGTAATAGTGTTGGTAGGCTGGTAGTAGTGGTAGTGGAGGCTGGTGGTAGTGGAGGCTGGTGCTGTAAGGTTGAGGCGGTCTTCTGTGTATTGTTCTACCACAAGGCGACAGCTGAGGCCCATCGGGAACTCCACCCAACATTTTCTTGTGTCTCAGAGGGTTGGGTTAGGTTAGGTTAAGTTAGGTTAGGTTTCTCAAGATTCTTAAAGAGTTGTCTGTTGAGATTCTTAAACGATCGTAAGTTCATTTTTTTTAACCTTAACTGAGGATTTGAGAGAGAGAGAGAGAGAGAGAGAGAGAGAGAGAGAGAGAGAGAGAGAGTGTAAGTTGTCACCATAAACCCTCCCGACAGTGACTGGGAGAAAGTATACGCTTGGTTGAGGACAGTGAATTGGCTGGATGGTATCAGTCAGTCACTTTCTCCTGTCTCTGAATAAAGTAAAAGTGGAAAGTGTCAACCGTGGTTTCTTGGGCAGTGACGGATACAAAAGTACCTGAAGACACACACACACACATACACACACACACACACACACACACACACACTTCCTTTCCCTACACTAAAATGAGAGATATAGACTGGAGACAAAGAGACAGACTGAGACAGAGAGACAGACAGACAGACAGACAGAGAGACAGAGACGATGTGAGCAACTGGTGATGAGAAAATTAAAATAATCGTCAATGGCGTCACGCCCAATAAGCTTCTTACGACCATCATCACTATTATGGTGTGTGTGTGTGTGTGTGTGTGTGTGTGTGTGTGTGTGTGTGTGTGTGTGTGTGTGAGGTAGATGGATAAAGATAGATAGAGATGAGGATAAGGAGACAGAGGAGTGGGGAAAAGTGAGAGGGAGAAAGAGAGGGAGAGGGGAGAGGGAGGAAAAGAGAGGGCGAAGCTGGGAGAAAGAGAGGGAGAAAGAGAGAGGTAGCGGGGAGAAAGAGAGGGAGAGGTCAGAGGGGAGAAAGAGAGGGAGAGGTCAGAGGGGAGAAAGAGAGAGGGAAAGGGGAGAAAGAAACAGGTAGCGGGGAGAAAGAGAGAAAAGTGTTGTGTGTAGATGCTTTCTTGTGTGTGTATGAGTGTGTGTGTAAGAGTGTGTACGCATACCCTTTAATGTGTTACTATTCTGCCTGCCTGCCTGCCTGCTCTCTCGCATTGATTATACATGCTAAAGAGACCATGCTAGGAGGACAGCGAGCACCAAACTCACCAATTGACCGACTGACCGATCAACCCGACGTACCGTACAATAGTAAACAGCAAGTCGTATCAGATTTCAAGCGACCATTCTATTTACAAAACACTCAGCTGGTTGCCATACTGATGTGACGTCATCAACATGGCCGGCCGTGTCACCTGCGGACAGGATGGGCGTCTCCTCACCTCATGAAACGTTTACAATAACTTTCATGGCTGGATAATTAATTGTTTTTTTTACTTAGATGTTATTGTCCTTTACGGCAGGTGTCTAGCGTATCATAAAATAAGGTGATATAGAGAAGGTAAGTGCTTGTTAGGGAGGGATTTTGTTTGTGAGTGAGTATTTTGTTATTTTATTTATGTATCTCGTTATTGTTTTGTTTTTGTTATTTTTAAGTCGTCTTTTGTTTTGGTTTGTTGTGATGTAGAAACACCGTGACGTCATTGTGTATTGGTGTACTGTGGTGTTTACAATCTCTCTCTCTCTCTCTTTCTCTCTCTGACATACACACTCACACACACACACACACACACACACACACACACACACAGAAGCTTCACATTATTATATATAAATTCTCAACCGCCTGAATTTTGCCAACCGTAAGTCACCTGTCTGTCTGTCTGTCTGTCTGTCTGTCTGTCTGTTTCCATATTTTCTTTTCATCCTCCCATCCCATCCTCCCTCCTCCCTTCCTCCCCATCCTCCCCTCCCATCCCTCCCATCCTCCTCCTCCTCCCCATCCCATCCTCCCCCTCCCATCCATCCCATCCCATCCCATCCCCTCCCTCCCTCCCCATCCCATCCTCCTCCTCCTCCCATCCCATCCCTCCCTCCATCCCATCCCATCCTCCCCATCCCATCCCATCCTCCTCCTCCTCCCCATCCCATCCATCCCATCCCATCCTCCTCCCCTCCCTCCCATCCCACCCATCCCATCCTCCCATCCTCCCTCCCCATCCCATCCCATCCTCCCCTCCCTCCCATCCCATCCCATGATGAAGCTTCCGTCGTCCACCTGTTAGGCCTGTCTGGTGTTGGTCACACAGCGGCTGCACCTGTACACTCACACCCAACTTGGTAATTACTGTAGGAGCCACACTTGGGTTCTTTACCTGGTCCACCCATACCTTGTGACTTCCCCCTTCTGTCTGTCTGTTTCTCTGTCTGTCTGTCTGTCTGTCTGTCTGTCTGTCTGTCTGTCTGTTCGGAATACACACACACACACACACACACACACATATGTATTCTGTATGTATCTCAATGTAAAAAAGTATGTATGTATGTATGTATGTATGTATGTATGTATGTATGTATGTATGTATGTATGTATGTATGTATGTATGTATGTATGTATGTATGTAATGGGTTATTCTAAGAGGTTGTAAGTGTGGGCGTGAGGGTGATGGTGTGTGGGTGATGGTGTGTGGGCGAGGGTGAAGAAGTGTGGGCGTGACTGTCTGCATGAGGTGTCACTGAACTGGATGTTAAGGTGAAGACGTGACGAGAAGATAACAATGGAGGAGGAGGAGGGGGGAGAGGGGGGAGGAGGAGGAGAAGGGGGAGGGGTAACGACATAAAGGAAGTGGAGGAGGAAGTGTAGGAAGAGGAGAAGGGGGAGGAGATGGAGGATAGGAAAGAAAGAGGTGAGGAGAAGCAGGAGGAAGAAGAAAAGGAATTGCAAGAAGAAAAAGAAGAAGAAGAAAATAAAGAAGAAGAAAATAAAAGATTACATGGAGGAAAAAGAGAACGAAGAAGAAAGGAAGACAGAGGAAGAAAAGAAGGAAAAGTAGGAAGAAGAAACAGGAGGAAGAGAAGAAAGAAGAACAATATCACAATAACACAAACAATAAAGTCGACGAAATACAACAACAATAACATTACTCAAGGAAAACGCTAACTCATGCTATGGCAGGAAGGGGTGTTGGTGGGTGAAGGGGAAGAGGAATCACCATGACACCTTTTATCACAGCTATATGCTCTTGACCTTTAACCTCATGACCTTAATGATCATAACAGTTGTAAGGGATTGTGATGGTGGATGTGTAGGTCAAGTGTGGTTGTTGTAGGTTGTGTTGTTATTGAGTTGTGTGTTTTGGTTTACGTATTTGGTGTCATTGATTTTCCTATTTATGTGAGTCGGTGATGATAATGGTAATAGTAATAATAATAATAATAATAATAATAATAATAATAATAAGAAGAAGAAGAATTGCCAACAGAAATATCTCTCTCTTATTTATACGGCAATCTATCAGTGTCGCGGTCTATCTCACTTTCTCAATGTTTAACTTTCTCTCTCATTTTTTCTCGCTGTCTAAATTACTCGATCTCGCTCACATTTTTTCACTCTATCTCATCCACTGTAGCTCACTCTCTTTCTCTCTAAGTCACTCTAGTTTACTCTTTCACATTTTCTTTATCTCTCTCTCTCTCTCACCTGGGTCACTGTAGCATGGAAGAAAGTTTGTTTATGGAGGGTTCAGCAGCAGGACCGCAAGTGAACGACAACTGATGGCGGCAACAAAAACAGAAAAGCGAAGTGAAAGTTGAGAGAAAGTGACAAAAAAAGCTCAAAAACAAGTGATTAAAAGATGAAAACAAAATAATTTAATGAAACGAAAATAAAGTGAAGATCCGATTAATTTTGGCAAAAGTTAGAGAGAAAATAATGTTTCCTTTTTATTGGGGTGTACAAACTGTGAACTCTTGTTAATTGAGGCGTAAAACTATAATAATTAAGTGTTTTTATTGACGCGCGAACCGTGATACCATTTATTTTTTATACAATTTACAACCTCTGTTGGTGCGCAAACCATGACTACTATTTTATTGTTGCGCAACTTGAACTTTTTTTGGGTGGGGGGGGCGCTCAATCCAACTTTCCAACTTAATCCAAAATCACTATAATCACTACAGAATTATATAAAGAAAGCATAACTATATTCTGTAATAAGTACCTAATTTACTGGGGCGTTGGCTAAATTACGTGGATGATGACATATGTGTGTGACAAGTTTTAGGCGGGATAATAACAGAGTTTTAGAGAGCGTTACGTGAAAGTGAAGACGGTGAGGCTGAACCTGACGTCATAGGAAGGAAGGAAGGTAACTGGGAAGTCTTCTTAAAGCTGATTTTAGTATTATTTTGTGTGTGTGTTTCAGTGTCCATCTTGTGTCGTTCTCACATCACCAGTTTAGAGGAAAACTTGCAAATCTTCGAGATTATAGCCCTACCCTCTGACCTGTTCGGCTGAAACTGACCTTGGCTTCGAACTAAACTTAACCGTATAATCCATCACAAAATCTCTCTCTCTTTCTCTCGATGACAATTTCACTGTCATCACAAGAGTTACAGTCAATTGGTGTAGTTTTGTGTGTGTCAAGTGTCAGTTGTCATTGTGTCATTAATCATATCACAGTGGCACGTGTCAAAAGTCAGAGGTGTATGACGTCACACCCGATCAGCTAGGGAGGTGACAAGTCAACCAAAATATCAGACTAAATTATTTTCCCTTTTTCCCTTCTCTATCTTCTTCCCTTTATCCCTCTTCCTTTCTTCCACCTTTCTTCCCGTTCCTTTTTGCCCTCCGTTCCTCCACCCTCCCCCTCTCTTATGTCCTTCATTCTCTTCTTAATCTACCTTCTCTACCTCTTCCCTACATTACCTTCATCCCTCCACCCCTTCTCCCTTTCTCTCCCTTCTTTTATCCTTCCTCCCTATCTCCCTTCTATCCTCTCCCTAACCCCCATCTCTCCTTCCTTCTTTCCCTCTCTCTCTCGTGGGCGGATCGACAAGACGGAATGGTGAGAACACTAGTCTTACTCTTTCAAAATGGCCGCCAAGATCGACAACGCCCGAGAGAGAGAGAGAGAGAGAGAGAGAGAGAGATGATTAATGGCGTAAGTTAAGACACTTGAATTATGGTGAATATTTTAGTCATCATATCCTTTGTACACGCACCAGAAGGTCTCTTTCTTATATATCACTTCATCTTCTCTTCCTGTCTCTCCCTTCCTCCCTCCCCTCACCACCTACATAGTCACTGGTACCCTCTGTTTTCCCTCCCACAGGCAGGTGTCAGACTGACCTTGGAGGAAGAGAGGCAGGTATTCGGGGACAGGAACCCAGGTGAGTGTTGACATCAGCTGTTTTTTGTTGACATCAGCTGTTTTTTACTGACATCAGCTGTTTTTTGTTGACATCAACTGTTTTTTACTGACATCAGCTGTTTTTTGTTGACATCAGCTGTTTTTTGTTTATTTTATCTGCTTTTTGTTTAACATAAAAGAACCATTTTCTTTTTACCTTCAAACAAGATTTATTTTTTTACAGTGCCAATTTACAGCGTGATAGAGCCTCGTGTGGTGGAGGGAGAGGGGGAGGAAAGACGCCACCCACGCCACACCCGCTCCTCCCACTCCCAAGGCCCTCTCCTACAATTTAATGCCCTTGGTCGATCCTTCAACTTCAAGTGAGAATTTTATTGTTTTGTCCTGTCCTGTCCTGTCTGTCTGTCTGTCTGTCTGTCTGATTTGTCCGTATTTTTGGGTCTTTTTTTTAGTTTGTCAATTCTGGTATTTTGTTTTGTTTTGTTTTATTTCCTGTCGGTATTTTCTTACGTTCTGATTGATCAACTTTCTCAACCTACCCTAAATTAGCCCAATAGTAACCTCTCATCATCTATCTTCGTTCTGATTGGTCGGTTTAGCCTCTACTTATCTTAAATTAAGCCCAATAATAACTTCTTATCATCAACCTTCATTCTGATTGGCCAAAATCTCCACCCACCCACAGATTAGAGCCCAATAGCGACCTCTTATCCCCTTACTTCGTCCTGATTGGTCGACACCGTGAGATGAGGGACATCCGGCCAATCAACCAGAGCCAGGTGGCGTGTTTCTACCAAGGTGTCGAACTGACGGATGGCAACAACACTACCATCGCCGTCGAGCTGTGTGATGTTGTGGTCAGTTTATCTCTATTTATGGGTTCGGGTTTGGGATTCGGATTTGGGTTCGGGTAAGGGTTTGGATTCGGGTTCGGGTTCAGGTTTGGTTATGTCTAATCTGTCAATCCATCAATTTGTTTATCTATCTATCCATCTATCAAAGCAAGTTTACCCTCAAAATACATCTTCAAGGTCCGTTTTCTCTTGACACACACAGCGAGGAGTCATTGCCAGTCTGTCGGGAGAGTATGTAATCGAGCCGTTACCCGAAGGCGCATCCCGAAGGAGGCGCCGAAGTAGCACCCAAGGACACCACCAGCAAGAGCAAGAGGGCATTAATTCTTATACCCACGTCATCTATGCCAAGGAGGATAATGGTGGCTATACTGCAGTGCCCAGTAAGTGTGTGTGTGTGTGTGTGTGTGTGTGTGTGTGTGTGTGTGTGTGTGTATCATTATTAGCATTATTACACATTATCACTTGAGAAAGAGAGAGAGAGAGAGAGAGAGAGAGAGAGAGAGTCTTCGGCACTCCTGTCCTCTTCCTCACCCACCTCTTCCCCCTTCAGAATCCAGAAAGAGACGATCCTTCCTGACGCCACTACAGGAGGAAGAGGAGAGAGCCGCACTAGGATCCCGCCCTGAACGACGCTCTTACTACGACAGCTATGAACACGTGGTGGACTCCCGCATGCGGTCAGAGTGGGGCAGCGACCACCACAACAACCGCTATGATGACAGGATTCCTGACAGGTAATGGTGATACTATTACTACTAACTACTACTACTACTATAATCAGTCAATACTACTACTACAACAACAACAATTACTACTACTACTAATTAACTAACCACAACGCCCCCAGGAAGGACAAGCGTGGGGAGGACCTGTACATAGAGACAGCTGTGTTCGTCGACCAGGATCTGTACCGCCATATGCACGATAACTTCCCCCGAGATACTGAGGACCAGGTGTTGAAGGTCGTCCTCGCCATGGTGAACGCGGTGAGTCGAGGAGTTGCTGGGGTACTCGAGGGTAAGGGGGTTAAGGGGAGGGAGGGGGCGGAGGGGTGTTTAAGTGTAAGGAAGTTAAGGGAGAGGGGGGAGGAAGGGAGGGAAAGGGTGTTTGATTATAAGGGGTTGAAGGTCTCTCTCTCCTCTCTCTCTCTCTCTCTCTCTCTCTCTCTCTCTCACCTCCTTCACCGCCTCCTCCACACACAGGTCCAACTGCTCTACAATGACGCCTCCCTCGGCCACAGTGTCAAGTTCGTCCTCAAACGCCTGGAGATCCTGTACAGTGATCCTTCTGGTCTCCGCCGCCCCAACGACATCGACACCTTCCTCACCAACTTCTGTACGTGGCAGCGTCAGGAGAACCCCGCTGACGACGCCCATCCTATGCACTGGGACCACGCCCTCATCCTCACAGGGCTTGATGTATTTACTATCGACAGCAATGGAAGGGTCAATTCACAGGTGGTTGGTGAGTAGAGTGTGTGGATGTTGGTGGTGTTGTGGTGGTGTTGGTGTGGTGTTGTAGTGGTGGTGTTTGTGGTGTTGTGGTGGTGTTGGTGTGGTGTTGTGGTGGTGTTGACGTGGGTGTGTGTGTGTGTGTGTGTGTGTGTGTGTGTGTGTGTGTGTGTGTGTGTTTTATCTGTCTGTTTGTCTATCTATCTATCTCTTAATCTATCTATATCTCTCTCTTTTATAAAAAAAATTGTTCTACTGTGGTGTTCCTCTTCCATCTCTTCCTACTCCTCTTCTTCTTCCTCTCCTTCTTCCTCCTCCTCTTCCTCCTCTTCCCCTCCCCTCCTCCTCCACAATAACCCCCCCCCTCCACCACCACCAGGTCTGGCTCCTGTAGCAGGGATGTGTACTCGCTCGTCCTCCTGTACAGTCAACGAAGGACGCCACTTCGAGTCCGTCTACGTCATGGCCCACGAGATTGGTCACAAGTGAGTCCTCGTGAGTCCTAATTGAGGGTCATAAGAGGTCATTGCTGGGTCACGGTTCATGTCATGTTATTGGGGTGGAATGTAGGCCAGCACAGGTGTAGGTCGGGTACAGGTGTAGGTCAGATACAGGTGTAGGTCGGGTACAGGTGTAGGCCAGCACAGGTGTAGGTCGGTTACAGGTGTAGGTCAGATACAGGTGTAGGTCGGGTACAGGTGTAGGTCAGGTACAGGTACAGGTCAGCATCACCTCTCACTTCTCACCTCTCACCTGACCTCCAACAGTTTGGGCATGCGACACGACGGTCTCCAGGCAGGCAACAACTGTGATTCTGGGAGGTACCTCATGTCTCCTACCTTGGGCTCCGGCAAGATCACCTGGTCACCTTGTTCTAGGAGATACCTAGACGACTTCCTCAGGTGAGTCCTCCGTCCCCTACTTCTTCAGGTAAATCAGTCCCCTACTTCAGGTGAGTCATTAGTCCCTTACTTCTTCAGGTGAATCAGCCCCTATTTCACCTGGGTTGGTAGGTCTGTTTGTTTACATGTGTGATGTCATTCATTGGTAGGTGTGTTTGTTTACATGTGTGACGTCATCGACAGGTCTTCGCAGGCTTCATGTGTGAGGGACGTGGCAACTCCTGACCGTCAGCAGATGGACCACGAGGCGCACTCCCTCCCTGGCCAACGCTTCTCCGCCGACCAGCAGTGTGAGTGTTTCTGTCTGTCTGTCTGTATGAGTATACGTTTGTCTCTCTGTAGGAACATGGTCGCCGGCACTGTACTCGACCACCTTCACTTCCTCAACTGTAACGTCAGGTACCCATTCACAGCTGGGTGGACTAAGGGCGTCCGGGGATCGAACTAGAGACCCTTAGAGCAGAAGGCGAATCTCTGAACAGGGCTGCCAACACAGTCGTCAGCCTTGGGGAAGTGAAGGACTGTCATTGAGTAGATGGAGAGACCGTGTGTGTGTGTGTGTGTGTGTGTGTGTGCAGACAGACAAACAGACAGACTGAGACAACAATAACACAACACATCCTTACAGACAAACGCTCACAACACTTACTCTTAATTACGTCCCGTTAATAACAGTATAATAATAATAATAATAATAATAATAATAATAATAATAATAATAATAATAATAATAATGAACCAAAACTTAAAACCGAATTACCGACCAGAAGTTAGACAGTCAGGGGGTCATTTACCTGTGTGTTAAATCATTAGTGTTTCCGCCTCACCTTGATGAATACGGGGGATATTGGAGGTCATGACAAGCGAATATTGAAGGTGAACTTCACACACACACACACACACACACACACACACACACACACACACACACACACACACACACACACACACACATATACTCATATACTGTATATTCACACATATACATTATACCTATATAAGCCCCAACACCCTCCTTCCCCAACATAAACTTCCCCCTCATAACACTTCATCCTCGTCCTCCTCCTTCTCCCCACAATAATCCTTCCCCTCCCCTCTCCCTCCCCCACCTCCTCCCTTTCTCCCCCCCTCCCTCCCCCCCCACCACTGACCGCCACCCTCCCCACAGGTATGTTGAAGCACGGGACAGGGAGCCAACACGCGAACACCCAGCGCCTGGAGGAGATCTGTCAGGACCTGCACTGTAAGAGGGACCACTACACTTGGACCTCTCACCCGGCCCTTGAGGGAACTACCTGTGGCCATCGCAAGGTATACCTCACTCACCCTACCCCATTCCTACATCATTCTACTTCACTCTCACTCATTCTAACTCGTCCTGACTCACTCCCCGCTCACTCATTCTTCTTCCTCTTCTCGACAGTGGTGCCAACGAGGACGATGTAAAGAAGACCCGAACGCCCCCGGCCTCTCGTCGTCCTCCTCCTCCTCCTCCTCCTCGTCCTACCAGTTGGCCTCTTCCTTGGGGTCGTCCTCGGGGTCGTCGGAAGCAGGCGTAGGAGGGACGTGGGGGTCGTGGTCAAAGTGCAGGTCGTCGTGTCTATACGGAGTGGATGGCATACTGTCATCTGGTAGCACCGGCCTGGCCCTGTCTGAGAAGCGGTGTAGGTGAGGGAGATGGTGGTGTTGTGTTGTGTGTGTGAGAGAGAGGGGGGGGGTTGAGAAGGAGAGAGAGAGAGAGAGAGAGAGAGAGAGAGAGAGAGATGATGAAAAAGTCCGAACTTTTAACTCACCCTCCTCCCGTATCTCCCCTGCACCTACAGTAGCTGCAGGGGCGAGTACAGGTACCGTGTGTGTTCAGCGGTGCAGGATTGTCTTACGGGACAGCGGAAGACCCTACAGGACTTCGCTGACGAGACTTGTAGAAGGCGGTCGAAAAACTCTGCCTTCCTGACGGGGCTGGCTGCCAGGGTCCCTCCAGAAGGTATGTTGGGGAGTGTTTACGAGTATGTGGGTGGAGTATGTGTCCTGTGTTTGATCTATAGGTACACGTGTCCTCTCATATGGATGGTGTTTATGTATATACCCGTGTCCATTTAGTATACACATGTCCAAGTCATTTGTGGCTCTGCTAAGGTTTAGAAACACTTGCCGTGTCCTATGTCCACACCACCTATGTCCTATGTCCACTCCACCTTATGTCCTATTTCCAGGGTTGTCTCACTGTGAGGTAGAGTGTGAGACAACAGGTACAGGCATCCAGGAATCAGGCGAGAGTTACCCCGATGGGACGGTCTGTCAGTCACCCACAGCTCTTCCCGCCTTCTGCGTCACCGGCGTTTGTACTGTGAGAACCTTAATGAATATATATACTGTTTTTTTAATCTGTACCTCCTGTTAACAGAATCTTAATGAGTAACAGGAGTACCGTTGGTTATATATGTTGGTCATTACTCCTGTTGTATGTCTCAGCACCTCCCTCACTCGTTCATCCTCCAGACGTGCTGTAACACCTCCTTCCTTCTACAGGAGTTCCGCTGTGACCCCTACACCCTCTACGGGGCTGATCCCCTCACCTGCCGACCTGACATGGGCGTCCCGGACCCACATCGACCCCTGGGCCCCAATGACCCACTCTCGAGGCCCCCAACCACCCTTGCCCCAACCCGCAGTACCTCCACCACCACTCGACCGGGGTATGGAGATCCACAGTGGAGTTCATGGAGACCTGCCTCAACCTGCCGCTACAGGTGAGTCCTTACTTCTGCAGGTGGGTCCTCAGGTGATGAACTTCAAGTTATTTTGAGGATGTGTGTGGATTGTGAGGATATACACACACACACACACCAAGTATAACTTTATCTCCTTCTCTCTCCACACAGCTGCCTGACCTCAGCTAAAGGCATCCAACTGGTGAGCAGGAAGTGTCTGGACTGGAGCTGTACCGGAGTCAGCAAGAACATCCAGGTCTGCAACCCTCCTAACCCGGTACGTCAACCTAACCTGACATAACCCAACTCCCACTATCACCGTCACCAATACAACGACCACCCACCCCACCCCACATACCACTACTAACAATACCTCCTCCTCATCCTCTGCATCTATAGGTGGACTGCAGCCGCTTGAGGACGACCTTCGAGTACGCTAGTGAGGTCTGTGGGCGCTTCAAGTCAGAAGTGGACCAGCTGTCGGGTGTGGGCATGCAGCTGGCTAGTACAAGAGGTCAGTTCCACGTCTGTCTAAGTCACCCGTCTGTTTATCTAAGTTACCCGTCTTGTTTCGAAAGTTGGTTTTCTGTGGGTAACAGCTTGGTTGAAAGTTTTCTTAATGTGTTAAGGCGTTCGTGTGTTCCAAGTTTAGAAGCTCCAAAGTTGTTGGTTGCGAAAGTCAGAGCGCGAAGATGACAGAGGAAGGAGCAGGAGGTTAGGAAGGGAATTGTAGTGGGAGAGATAGTGCCGTGGCTTTACACGACTGCGTTTATTTGGTTAGCGCATAGCGCACGTATTGGGTTTTGTCTGTGTTGGGTGTGTGATCCTCGGGTCACCACTCCTCCGGATTGTGTCAGTTCAAGTTTAGAAGCTCCAACAACTTTCCCTGAATACGAATTCGCAACCTTTCGATTTACAACAGGTACCTACTTTACTGCTAGGTGAACAGGGACCAAGGGGACTAGGAAGAGTGTCCAAACAACTTCCGCCTGCCCGGGAATCGAACCCGTGACATCTTGCTTATTATTATTATTATTATTAATTCGCCCATATAACTTCTAATACCAATCACTTTGCCCCCAGCCTGTAATCTTCAATCACCTACGACTCATCCTGTAACCTGTAACTAACCATGATCTTCTCTCCTCATACCTCAGATGACCCAGACCGCGCCTGTACGGTGGCCTGCCAAGATGCAGTCCTCAACTACCGTTTCTACCGCGTTAATGGGAAAGATGGTTGGTTTCCCTTCGGTACTGATTGCTCTAAGGGCCGCCAGGGGGACAATTCTTACTGTCTCAACGGCAAGTGTTTGGTGAGTGATGCCGCGAGATACTACGAGATACCACTAGACTTTGAAGTGTATATCTCTCTCTGTCTCTTTTACTTCATACGAGATCAGAGATAATGGTGTTTGACTCAAGATAAAGTTAATGATGTATGGTTGTGTTCCTATAGAGTTTCTTACACAGGGAGGCTCCCGTGATCCTTTTAAGATATCTCCGTCTTTTCTTAAGTTGTCTACAGACCTTCTTACAAGTCTTCTCTGAGTCTTCTTCAGGTCTTCTTTGTCTTCACTCACATCCTTTACACACTCACACACTCCTCATCAGCTCCACACACACTCACACTCTCCTCCACACACACACTCACACACTCCTCATCAGCTCCACACACACTCACACTCTCCTCCACACACACACTCGCATTCACTCACAACTTGTACACATTTCCTCTCGTCCTAGCCATCCCACAACCCCCGGCTCACACTACCATCACCTCTTCCTCCCACAGGACTTCTCGGACGAGGGGACGCCGCTCCGTAATACCATCTACACGGAGTATGAGAGGGCGCGATCACTCGACCTGGAGCCGATTATCGAGAGGGACTTCCCCAGGGAGGTGAGGCCCGTGTCCTCCCGCCGATGGTTGGGTTCTTGGGGGCGCCGACGAAGGGATGTTAGCTCTTCCTCCTCCTCCTCCTCCTCCGCCTTCAGGGATCAGAGGGACGCCCTACGCTCCTCCAGGCGACGACGAAGGAATATTCTCTCCTCCTCTAAACGACATCAAAATGACATCAATTCCTCCAGACAAGAAGGGAAGGACGACAGCTCTTCCTCCTCTTCCTCCTCCAGGCGGTGGTCCTCCTGGAGGCGACGGAGACCGAGAGACGTGACCTCTTCCTCCTACCCTATCTCCAGCACCATCAGCGACACGCTCCTCCTCACACTCGTCGCTCAGATCAACGACACATGTAAACTAACCTGACTCTCTCTCTCTCTCTCTCTCTCTCTCATTTGTCCATATGAATAGTCAATGCGAAATCCACTTCTATACGGGCATAAGGCTCTCTGATTGGTCCAACGTGTCTCTCCCTCCCCAACAGTGACGTCAGTACACGAGCTAGACAGCAACACACACTTGAGGTCATCAATAGACTTCAAGAACCCGCTATTTGTGGATCAAGGCCCTCCTCCACCTCCAGCTACATCATCTCGAGGACAAGGTAGCAACTTTACGGTGACCCTCAAGCCTCATACCTTCACCTTGACGCCCCTCAACCCACGAGTCCCCGCTAACAGCACCAGCAGTTTCTCCGGGGCGTTTGATCAAGAGGTGTTGGGGCCTCGGGAGTACAGGTGGAGGGTGGTGGTGATGCCCTGTTCCGTCACGTGTGATGTAGGTGAGTGTGTGTGTGTGTGTGTGTGTGTGTGTGTGTGTGTGTGTGTGTGTGTTGTTTTGTACTTTTCTTGGATTACCTGAAAATTACTTCCCCCCTCTCCCTTAATCCTATCCTACCCTATCCTACCCTATCCTACCCTATCCTACCCTATCATACTCTACTCTAACCAACAGTTTCCTCTCATACATTACAGGACTGCAGGAGGTGGTAGTGATGTGTACTGTTATAGGAGGAGGCGCTGACGAAGAAGTGACCGAGGCGTCCCTGTGTTCCCCTGACCCACCACCAATGACCCCGGGCTTCAGGAGGTGCGGGCGTGAGGTGAGGAGGTGCCCGATCAGACCTCCTCATTCCTCCCTCATCGAGAGTACCGCGATAGGGAAATGGTTGACTGGATTAATACAGGCTGCGAAGGGTGGTAGTAGTGGTAGTAGTAGTAGTAGTAGTACGGGTGGTAGTAGTAGTGGTAGCATAGTATAATTTTTTATTTTAAGGTAGTATAATTCATATGGGGTTATGTGAAGATTACCCACCCCTAACCTAACCTAACCCAGTACCCTTCAAATGGTTCCTCTGTAGTATAATTGTTTATATATATAACAAATACCCCATTGATTAAGAAATTAACGAGGCATTGTTTTATTTCCTTAAAAATCCTGTAAGTTGACATACGATTTTTAACTTTAATGTCATGGGATATCACGTTCTTCCCACGGTAGAGGTAAGAATAACACTATCTTCCCCCCGTTCGTTCCTACGTGTTTTTTTTTTTAAAGATCAAGACATGTTTCTAACGTGTTCTAGAGGTCAATATTTATGACCCCAGGTTCATAGGTCAAACTTTTTGTTGTGTATGTATAAGCTGTAGTTGTAGTAGTGTTGTGTAGTGTTGAATTGCTTGTATTTAATTGGGGGGGGGGTGTAGATGAGTATAGTCCTGTATCTTGTATGAAACCAGATTAGGACGGGGAGCTTTGACGGAGCACTAGAGGGTTTGACGGACGCTGAGTTGGACAGGTAATGAGTCTGGCAGGTAATGAGTCTGGCAGGTAATGAGTCCGACAGGTACTTAGTTGGACAGGTAATCAGTTTGGCAGGTAATGACCCTGACAGGTACTTAGTTTGACAGGTAATGAATCTAACAGGTACTTAATTTAACAGGTAATGAATCTGACAGGTATGCATACGCAACTGGACAGGTGAGAAAGAGCTCATTATAAAGAGTGCAAGAACTGAGTGTAAACAGAGAGAGAGAGAGAGAGAGAGAGGTCAGTGTAAACCCTCAAGTGTGAGAGGTGAAACAAAAGCTCTCCGTTCTCCACTGATTGTTAAGAAGCCAAACAGATCTCAGAGCTAACGAGTTATGTGCAGTTAACGCGTAATCACCCAACTACTGTACACCTTGTTACAAAAAGAAGCTTTATTGATATGATTGTAATGTTGTGAGTAAAATTGTGTTAATGAGATGTGTGTGATTTTGACTCTTCCTATTGGTTGGTGTTTTAAATAATTACTGAATTATGGTTTACCTGAAGATTAAACTCTCCAACTTAATCTATCCAAATCTAACACTAATCTAACATAGCATAACCTAACACTAACATAACCTAGCCTAACACTAATCTAACGTAACATACCACTAATCTAACATAACCTAATGTAACGTAACCTAACCCATCCAGGTAACATTTGGGCGTTTAATTAACAGGTGATCTGACATAACTTGAAATATCAGAATTATCGTGAAAAATATTTCCATTCGTCTTTACAGGTTAGCTGAGGATAGAATGAGTAAGGTCAAGCTGTGTGGTTAGCCAAGGAAAAATACCAGTAACAAAATAATTTATTTAGAGCAGCGCTACAACAACAACTACAGAACGTTACAAAGATAGAGTACTGTAGATCACCCTGAAGGAGAAGAATTAATTACAGGTAGTGGTCAGTACAGTTGGTGAGTTGTATCAATTTAGTTACTCTTGTTTCCTTCTACAACTGTTAGTATAAACTTTATATATTGTAGTTTGGTTGTAGATATAACCCAGTGGTAGATAATATAGTCTGAGTGACATATTGTAGTTATGATGGTTAGATTACGTCAACACAGTGAGGCAATGATGTGAGAAGACTTATCTCTGTCTCTCACTAGTGTTTACACAATGGTTCAGTAGTGAAGATAAGGGTGAGTGTCTCCTTCCTTTCTTACCCTGAAGTAGTGGTGTGAGGGAGAGGAGGAGGTGGTCTAGTGTAAACATGGACCACTGGAGGAGAATTTGTTAATAAATACACACACACACACACACACAGGAACAAAGGTTAGTGTTATCGCCACCTGGACGAGAATTCTTAGCAAACAATAATAAAAACATCAGAGTATATAATATGGCAACGTGGCTCTGTGCTGAAGACAACACAACACGGGCGGTGAGCTGCAGGGAGACTGTGATGACAACACAGGTGGTTATGGTGTTCTACTGTAGCTCTGTAGTGCTCCAAGTTATACCAGGTTCTATAGGACATCCAGAGAAGGGTGTCTATCGTCCTGAGGATCTGTGACGCCTCCAACCCTCGCCAGGAATGGAACGTTACACTCGTCAGAAGTTTGTGGGTTGAGATCTATACAGCTGTAGCAGATACTGTAAGTGTGTTGAGGTGCACACTACACAAGGAACACCACGCAGAAGGAACACCCATCCTCAGTCCTCCTGTAGGATACGACAAAGGAGGTGGGATGGGGGAGAGTTCCAACCAAGAACCAGAACTTTTGATATTCAGGTATATATTTTTTTACACCTCAACACCACGACGGCGACGATGATGGTGCGCCACCTTCTCAAACGTCAAGGATGGCTCGTAGTTGAAGTAGCCGAAGGCGGGGAAGTCGCTGAAGTAAGAATCGAGGTCGTAGCCGTGAGGAGGGAAGACGTGAGGGCTGATGAGTTCATTCAACACTTCGTCTGCGTTGTTCCCCGCGTCGTGTCTGAGGTGAGTTATGGTAATGGTAGAGGATACATAGTAACATTATTGTAACAGTATATATAGTGACATAATTGCATGCTAATATGTCATCAATGCAATAAGTTACAGGTGAACAGGTCGAAATAAACACTAGACCGTAACCTCAAATGATTCGAAGTCTCACTGTGGGTTTGTTTACATAGAGAGTGACGCTGATTCGTTCACCCACCCAAACGTATCCAATATGGCCGCCTAGTCAACATTACGGGGGTAACAACACGTTCAGAGGAGTGATTTTTTTTACAGTTTTATCTCTTCAGTGCCTTGAAAACAATTAAACACGCAGAAGAGGAGGCTGGATGCGTTGAGTAAGGTGAGGAGCGTGAGGTAGTGTTATGTTAGGACAAAAGTGTCGATATATAGTGCAATAATACCCGTGGTTTTGGCTAGTGTTGATGTTAGGAGTGGATTCCGTGATACTTCCTGTCATTTATGTCTTTATGTATGACAGCTGTTGTTATTACGTCACTAGTTTATGACAGATGTTATTATATACGTCACTACACTTCATGACACCTGTTATTACGTCACTATAATTCATGACAGCTGATATTACGCCACCATTGTTCATAACAGCTGAAGTTAATGCATTAATACAGGAGTTATATGACAGTGTTTTGTGTCATGACGTATTTAACAGATAATAATAACCCCACAGGCATGATGGCTCGTGAGGGACAGTACAGCACAGATACACTAAGCCTTCAGTACACAAGGAGGCACCATGGCCGACACTGTACTCGACCACCTTCACTTCCTCATCTGTAAAGTCAGGCACACATACACAGCTGGGTCGACTAAGGGCGCCCCGGGTGACCAACGTAACTCATAACCCAGGTAAGGGAGTATGGTGAAACTTATTGTGTGTATTTGAGGTGTAGACGTGTATGTTTGTTGATGTGTATAATGGGGTGTAGGTGTGTATGTTACAGGTGTAGGTGTGTATATTGAGGTGTAGATGTATATATTTGTTGATGCGTATACTAGTTAATGTGTATATTACAGGTATAGGTGTATATTTGACCTGTGTATCTGGAAAATGCTAAGAGTTACAATATACAAACTTAATGTATATATTTCCTATAACATAATTAACCTGTTGTGCTCTAGGGGTCAAAGGTTAGTGGTCACTATCCCACGGGGTACATTCCAAGAGTTAAGCTAAAAGTATATTAATGTCATTTAGTACACGGTATACTGCATATGTTAGTATATATCCTGTAATTGGTATACTCTGTGTATTTATATTTGTTATAATTAGTTATATACTGGACAGGTATTTACAGGTAATGTTGATTATGATGTTCGTAATTAATTAGTGTATTTAGTACTCGTGGGTATACAGTTTTTTATTACCCACAGAGGCCTTTAGTACTAGTGGGTATATTTAGTACTTGCTGGTATAACTAGTACATGCGGATATAATTAGTACATGCGGGTGTAATTAGTACTAGCGGGTGTAATTACATGCAGGTATAATTAGTACTAGGGGGTATATTTAGTACACGCGGGTATATTTAGTACACGCGGGTATATTTAGTACTCTCGAGTATATTTTAGTACATGAGGGTATAATTAGTACATGCGGGTTAGTAGGTTAGTAATAGTACCCACATACCCGTATTCAAAGAAGAAAGGAGTTGGCTGTGGGTAGTAAGGACGGAGATAGACATACGGGTCGAATCCTAAATCATTTGTTGATGGGAACATCGGGTGTACGCTGAAGGCCGATAGGTGATGGGGAGGTGAGCTGAAGTGGAGTTGAGGCGTGGCGACGGTGATGAAGTTTGCGTTGGCTTTGACGGGGAAGACTGGTGGGTGTGGTTTGCCGTGGTGAGGCTTGAAGGGTCTGGTAGATGGTAGTGGCTTGCCGTGGGTTGGACTGGTGATAAATATTGGTTTGGGGTTTGGATGGTGAGGATTGAAGGGTAGGGTTGGCTTGCTGTGGGTGGAGTGTATGGGAGAGAAAATGGAATTGTGTTCGTTGAGGTGGGAAGGGAAAACGAAGGAGTTGAAGTGGGGAGGAAAGATGTGGTTTTTATTGGGGGCTTGGTGGTGGGGAGGGTGATGGACGTTATTGAGGTGGGGTTTGACGAAGGGGTGAGGAATGGAAGGGGTGAATTTAACGGGGGGGTGAGGAAGAGGGTGAGGGTTATGAAGGTTGATGTCGATAGGGTCGTGTTTGGTGTGGAGGTCAGCCAAGGGGTCCTGAGTGAGGAGGTCGCGGGTAGGAGGTGGGAGGTGCTCTGCTGTCGTCATCACCAACACTGCCGCCGCTATTACCTGTAGATGAAAGAACCAAAACATCATACACACACCTGTAATTAAACGCCTTTATAGACAGGAACTCGTCATCACAACACCATCACTAAAATAACCATAATATTCATAGCATTACATAGCAAGTTATAGCACACACTCTACACCCTTTACCTGAAGAAGATCAACAGGTGTACACATCAACAAACATCATTAAAATTTTGGTTAAAACACAAAATTGACCCAGAAGTCAGCCAGTTTCACTCAATTCTTCCCGGGTATGTTCAGGTCTTCTCAATATAAATCAGCTGAGAGAGAAAGGGAGAGAGAAAGCCACGTAATTAATTGTTTTCGATAATTTCCCAATGACCAGGCAGGTAAGTTTTACCCAAGAGCCGTGACTGTATGAACCTCCTCCTTCACCTAACCTAACCCACCCCACCCCCACCCACCCCCACCCCACCCCACCCCACCCCACCCCACCCCACCCCCACCCCCACCCCACACCCCACACCCCACCCCCCACCCCACCCCACCCCACACCCCACCCCACCCCACCCCACCCCACCCCACCCCACCCCCACCCCACCCCACCCCACCCACACCCCACCCCACCCCCACCCCCCACCCCACCCCTCACCCCACCCCCAGAACAATCGGGTGTGTAACAAAACAAAAATTCACATCCGAACTTTTTCCGGATCCAAAGCCGAGTTAACCGGATTAATACAGTAATTAACACGTGGGAGAGAAGACGTTAGCGATCACAGGAACAAGCTGTTAAAGGCCATTAAACCACGCCTGGGAAAGAGGTTCACAGTGACGTGGTTTCGCACCTTTTTGATCAGCTACAGGTATAGGGGCGTGGTTGTACACGTGTGTGGTTTGGTCTGATATCCTGTTGTCGTGGATGCTTAGACAACAGGTATTAAAGGAGGAGTGTCGGTATACCGTATCTGATTGGCTGACTTTCTGACCAATGAAAACCGAGATACGCAAAATATTTCACCAGCAACCACGAATTTAATGTCGAATAGAACTGAGACCTATTCCTTATGTTGGGGTTAGGTTAGGGTCGGGATATAATTGGTCTGGAGCCATTGAGACTGACGCAGTTATCAGTTCCCTTACAATAACTTGGAAGATTGTGAGTTTCCTGTACTTCTAACACAAACACACACATACGGACACCGAGCAACAATGCTTCACTTTCTCAATACAAAAACAAGCTGGATGATAAGGGGGGGGGGGATAGGGTAGGAGGAGGGAGGTAACGGGGGTGAGGGATGAGGGAGGTAGGCAGATAAGCGAGGTAGGGTGGGAAGGCCTATGGGAGGGTGGGAGGGTAGGGGAGGGATGGAGAGATGAGGAGGCAGGAGTAGGGAAGGATGGGAGGAACTGGGTGGGGGGTGGTATTGTTATTATTTTCCTTTCTAATTCCTTATTAACAAACACATCCCTTATTTACTTCTCTAACATAAACAACATCGTAACGCAAGGTTTAACACGTCATCATCATCATCACACAAACACAGTCATCTAACTAAAATAGGAGAGTGAGCGTAAAGAGTGAGCGTAGAGGAGGTTATTAGATCGTCTTATACTCAACAGATGGTGACACTTATCAGGCGTTTCCTTGTTCCTCTGATATGTGACAGGGGGAGACGAATGTGTGGAGGGTGAGGGAGGGAGGGAAGGACAGCAGTTGGTCAGGGTGTTTTTTGGGGTGTGTGTGTGTGTGGATGTAATGACAGTGTTTGGGTTGGTTTTATTGTGTTGTTTTTTGTCTGTGAGGGATGTGTGGAAATATGCTTGATTAAATGTGATTATGTACACGCACGAAGACACACACACACACACGTCATCTTTCTCACATGAAATAGTTACGACAAACATGCTACAGGACATTCCAACATCGACCATCCTGTAACCGTCGCTTCCAGTCTTATAGTTATTTACATAACATGTGCTGCCATCTGTCGGGGAGAATTGTCATCCGTTCAGCAGTTCCCTTGTGTGTTAAGAGGAGAAAGGGGAGCGAGCGTAAAGATGTTTGTTTTTACTCGTTTGTACTGTAGTCGCCGCTATGAAGAGGAATGTTTGTTTGTGTGAAGATTAGGTACCTTAAGTTGTTGTTTTTTTTACCTGATGATTTTCGCCTACCCTGCCCTACCCTGAAGTAACCTACCTCAAACTTATATTACCCCAAACTTAAGGCTTAACCAAACCTTACCTAACCTAACCTAACCAAACCTAACCTAACCTAACCAAACCAAACCTAACCTAACCTAACCACCTTCACCCACACTACCGATTACATCTCACTCCCAGACACATGCACACCACCACAAACATACTATCACTTTTAGCAGGTAGCGCCTCGTCACCACAACACCCATACAACCTACGTGTTACCTACCCTACTGAGGCTTGACGCTGTGCAACTCATGTACTGTAGGTACTGTTGATGCTTACCTTACCTCTCTCCCTCCCTCCCTCCTTAATTCCTTCTTTCCCTACCTCCCTCCTTTCATTACCCCCTCTCTCTCTCTCTCCCTAACTGTACATGATATTGTGTTTAGTTATGGTAGAGTCTTGGTTCAATTTTGTCGTCTTAGAAGCATGATTTAGAGAAATTCTTACGTTTAAAACTCTCTCATGATGGTTGATGTTATGGTAGTTATCTATGGTAGAGTCTCAGTTCTATTTTGATGCTATAAAGTTGATTGATAACAGTGTGTTTAGTTATGGTAGAGTCACAGTGCACCACCGGCGCCATTTTCCTCTCCCCACATCTTCCTCATCTCCCATTTCTCCTTCTCCCACGTCTTCCTCATCACCCTCTCCCCCCCCCCTCTTCCCAGATCTTCCTCACTTCAATCAGTGTATCATAATCACTCGACATCACCACAAGCGACGGATGCGACAAACTGCTTCATTATCTCGATCTATATTAGTTACCCACAGAACGGGTCAAGTTTTCTATAATATGAATATGTAAATAATGTACTACTTAAAACAACTGACCTTTACAAGAAAGTGGCTTTACCTAAGGGAATAATGAACTGGTGTTTGCTATATGTTACAGTTGTGTTTTATTTGTTTTAAGGAAATGGAAATAATTTAAATATCTGATGGTTTTGTTTTAGCTGTTCCTGATCGATGTGATACTACTACTACTACTACTACTACTACTACTACTTTTTTTTTTTAAACGTGGCCTCCAGCCTCCCCCAATAGCCACACCTTCGCCACCATTTATTTACCTTAATATTAACTATCCTAATACATAAGCAACTATCCTATCTGTGTTAAATTAGTTGAGCCGCAGATCGATGCGGCATTCGGTGACTGTAGCCTCATAGTCGATATCTGCAGCAGTTGACGGAGTAGGGGCAGAAGCTCTCGTTCCCCTGAGGCAGAGCAAAGCCGACCGAAGGAGAGAGAAGGACAGTCGACATCTCATCCAGGCTGTGACATAACTTCTGGGCTGCTGCTTCTGTTCGGAGATCAGCTCCGCGAGTCTGGCGTAGAAACATCTTGCGCTTGGGCCCATCCCACCAGAGGTTGTGAACACTAGCGGAGTGAAGCTGCCTTGATCGACATTTTGAATTCTCTCCCCATATGCCCTTCTCTTGTCGTTCTCGTTCCTCCTATGTGCAGCATCGAGAGCTAGGTTACGGTGACAAACGGCCATGGGATCAAAAATCCTGATGTCGAAGAAGGCTCGCTGTCCCCGCGTCCAGAATCCTCGAGCACTGACGTCCACACGGGCTTCGTTAGATGTGTTTGAAGTCCTGTGTTGGAGGATCTCGCCATCCAGTGGAAGGAGGGTCGGTTCTACCATGACGTCCCGGCAGGTTTCCTTCAACATATTTGCTGTGAGATCCCTTACCTCGTCATGCCTCATGCATATGAAGCCCCCCTTCTTGCAAACCATGGCGTGATCGCCATCATAGGAATAGCCACACACGCATTGGGAGGGCAAACCATCTACTGGCCAACCGTACCTTAGAGCAATGGCATCTGTAAATTCTTGTTTGTTAAGGCTGAAACCATTTGCCCTTATCGGTAACGTAGTTAACCAGTTCGAGGCGCCCACCTCCTGCGCTATAGCTACTTTTTTTGTCAGATTTTCTGGAACCTGCAGCAATAATTGCTGCAACATGTCATTTTGGCAGTGCTGCCGATCTGTTGTAATGGATCTACGGATCTTATTAACTTCGCTGGTGTCCACTTCCCCTGTTGCATTCTGGGCTATTATGTGGTCAGTGAGGGCTGCCGTGAGCTTAAGTGAATTTTGATGTTCAGAGTCAGCAATCTACTACTACTACTACTACTACTATTACTACTACTACTACTACTACTACTACTACTACTACTACTACTACTACTAGGCTACTAATTTAGTTTCCTGTATGGCTAGGCGGTCATAGCTACGACACTCAACACCTAGAGGTAATTGGTTCGATTCTCAGGTGTTTGTGGGAAATTCATATACCTGGTTCATGTAGCTGATGATTGCTTTTGTTAATTATTGTACCTCTTCTTCCCCCTCGTTCTCTTCCTTCCTCCTCCTCCTCCCTTCCTTCCTCCCTCCCTCCTTCCCTTCCTTCCTCATCCTCCTTCTTTCCTTTCCTTTCCTTCCTCCTCCTCCTTCTTTTCTTTCCTTCCTCCTCCTTCTCCTGGATTCCTTAATTCCTCCCTTATCTCCCTTTCTCTATCTCTTACATCTCCATTCTCTTCCTCTTCCTTCCTCATCCTTCTCCTTATACTTCTCTCCTTTCCTCCCTCATCTCCCTTCCCCTTCCTCTCCACCCCCCTTTACAGCTGGGGGAGGGGGGGGGGGCAACAGATGGCAGTGATTCAGCTCATATTAATACAAGTTCCTAATGAGACTATGTCCAAGGTGTGCACAGGTGTGGTGATGTTGTACAGGTGTGGTGATGTTGTACAGGTGTGGTGATGCATAGGTATGGTGATGTGCAGGTGTGGAGGTCAGTACTGTCTGTGATTCCATAGGTCTACCAGCCTATGTGAAGAAGTATTTCTTTATGTTTATCCTGTATTATATCTTCTTATTTTTTCTTTTAATGACATGTAGGTTCAGTTGTGCTTGTGTGTATTGGAAAATTCGTAATATATATTGATCTTACTTTTTATGATTGATCTCAGTCATAGAAAAACTTAATCACCCAGGCGACTAAAATACCTTAGAAAAAACCATACCAATGAATCCTGTTCAGTCTCTTCTTCTCATCTAATTGTTCGATATTTTTTTTTATTAGTCCGTGAGTGTAGTTCCTCATCTTCCGTTTCCTGTAGTTATCACCTAGTCAACAACGTCTCTGGCAGATGTCTAATGTCAGAAAATATATCTCATTAATATGTGAAAGTTATTTGTTGTCTGAGAATGTGCTAGCCCCACCCCTGCAGCCTTGAGAGGGAGAAAATACCTTCATCTTGCTCTCAACTCACCACGGTAGATTGAGCACGTAACTCAGCAGCCCAAGGAGGAACAGCTTTCATTATCCTGTGGCGGTGAGAGGCTGCAGAGACTTACTGGAGGTGGTGAAGAGATTAGAAGATATCCCCTGCTGCCTCCTTCCATTTATAGCCTCACTTGTTCATTTTCTCTTTATTGCAATTAGAGAAAATTAAGCTTTCTCATTTCTTTTAAGTACTGTTTCAATTCTATATCGCCTTTAGGGAAGCAAAGTCACTGATATATGAGCTACTAGTTTGTGGATATAATTAATTTGAATATTATTACTTTTACTTTCACTTTTATCCTCTTCCCCACTGATCGGCTCATTAGCCGCTTGAGTGGTTGGTCATGTCTCTGGGATGCACTGTTGGCAAGTACTGGGCATGTACACATCTGTACCTGCGCCGGTATTGGTTAACTCTGGTCTTGAAAGAGCTCACACTCGGTGCCGTCACAACACTCCCTGGCAGAGTGTTCCAAGAGTTTACAATTCTCACTCTGAAAATATTTGCCCTCACAGTTTTCTGGACTTCTGGCTTTTTCAGCCTTAAGCTTTGACCTCTAGTAGGTCATCCCTTGCCCACCTAGAGTGTAAGTTAGGCAGTTGCAAGTCTTCTAATCACTCTCTGGGTAACTGATGTAACCAGAGTATAGGCCTACTTTAGACATTTTCAATCAACCGCCCGTCTAGATATCTGAAAGACCTTCGTATAAGCTTAGTTGCTTGATTCACCTTCTTACAATGGCCCGAGAATATCAGTTACATTCTAGGAGCCAAATAGTATCAATCCTTAATCGAATTTTTTGCATTATTATTGAATTTTCCTAAACTTAATTCATCATAAATTTTACCCAGTATTACTTTACTACTAAGTACGGATATTATACTTAAATATTAATATGGATAAATGCTGCTTAAGTACAATAAATATCAAGAAGTTATACGAAATTTCCTCCCCCAAAACACTTATTGGATAAATATGGACAAATTGACTAGCGGTTTGTTGACAAGTGTGAGTCGGGGATTTTGTCTTGTATATAAACACACACCTACCTCCTCCTCCTCCCTGCCCTACCCTACCCCCTTTCACTTCTCTATCTCGATTCTATCCGGGACTACTGCTTTCTCTCTATCTCTTTCACTTTCTCCTTCTGACACTTTCTTTCTTTCACACTGACTCTTGCTCTTAAACCCCTTGAGTACAATAACCCCAAAACATCATATTGTACTCAAGAACCAGACACTAAACAGATTACAATTCCGTCAACATTTCTATCGAGTACACGAACACTACCCAAAGTTTACTCCCTGCGGTTTACTCACTACGGCACCAGTCTCTCTTATCTAGCTCAGTGTAAACCATAGAAAAGTAACACTAAGGTTTAATCTAATCATGTGACTGAATTACTGTATATGATATGGCATTAAGAAGTGTTGGAATTAATCAGAAAAGGTTGATTTTTGCTCCTTAAAGATAGTGTGTGTGTGTGTGTTTGTGTGTGTGACCTTGGTTTTCTATTGAGCTGCGTGGAAGGGTGGCTGATAGTGGAGAAAGCAGTGGTTCCAGTTTTTGTATGGCTGGGGGCTATATTGAAGCTTAATTAGTGCACATGTACACTTCATACACACACAACTCTTTAATGCACTTTAATATAACACTTAATTACATGTTTTACACGTTTTATTTTCTTCTCAATATGCCTGTACTGAGGGTAATTAAGACACCTGTTGTTTCTTTACACCTGACGATTACATATGTCCTATATAGGGGTCTTAATGAGCATTCAGGTGTGTACAGGTATGTGAGGAAAGTGAAGATGATGTCTTGAGGGCAGGACTGGGAAGAGAAAGTGAGAGGGTTGGGTATAGTGTGTGTGTGTGTGTGTGTGTGTGTGTGTGAGGGGTGGAGGTATGTGTGTGTGTGTGTGTGTGTGTGTGTGTGTGTGTGAGGGTGGAGGTATGTGTGTGTGTGTGTGTGTGTGTGTGTGTGTGTGTGTGTGTGTGAGGGGTGGAGGTATGTGTGTGTGTGTGTGTGTGTGTGTGTGTGTGAATAAGTCATCTGTTGTGTAGTGAATGTGTGTTTACATTAGTCAGCTCGGATAAATTATCGCTCCCACAAACTCACTCACTGCTCCCCCAATCAGCATTATCCATTTCCGTAAATATTTATCAAAAGTCCAGGGTTATGTTACTGTATTTTAAAATTGATTCTATGGAAATTTATTTTATAGGCCTATTCATGCATGTCAGGTATCAGAAGTAACATAGACAGTAAAGATTGATTAAAAAAAATACCATGATTTGGAATTTTAAACTATGTAAATATTTGTCATGTAAATTCAGAGGCACAATACTTTACTTTATCTTTTAAACTATTTAAAACTTGTAGGAGATGCATCAGTATTACCACATACGTATGTGGTTTTTTTTGTCATTGTTGCCTCATCGTGATTACTTGTACCTGTAATACATGTTCTTGTGTCTGGCAGCATGACCAAACTGTAATAATGAGACCTATGCTGTTATTTTTCCATCCTGGTAATGTTGATGCTAGAGGCTGGTTACATCTCTTGACACACACACACACACACCTCTCGACATCCAAGCCAGGTGAGCAACCCACGCCAAAACTCACTCATTAACTAACTGCGTACACTGAGCCCAGGTGTGGTGATGAGGCTCCGACACGTGCCATAATTACTGCTATGATTCCCTGTAATTATACCCCGTTTATTAAACGCTAATTAGGGTGATGGGAAGGGAAGGTGGGAGGGGGTGGTGTTTTGTGTAGGGAGGGGTATATGGAGGGGAGGGGGGATGGAATGGAGAGAAGAAGAGAAGGGATGATGGGAAGGACAGAGGGAGGGGGTGAATGGAGGGTTGGAGGAGGGTGAAGGAAGGGATGGTGGGGAGGGAGAGGGATGAATGGAGGATTGGAGGAGGGAAGGTCAGAGGAGGAGGGGGGAAGAGTGGAATGGATGAAGGAATGGAAGGAGGAAGAGAGAGGAGAGTGGTAAAGGAAGCAGAAGTGGGATGGGTGGATGGATGAAGAGAAGGAGAGAGGAAATTGAGATGAAAAATATATATTATCTCTCTCTCTCTCTCTCTCTCTCTCTCTCTCTCACCATTGTATCAGGGGCAACAACAGAGAAATATCAGGAATGCATAATGTGGATGAATGACATAGGAACCATATGTAAACAAACACTCCTCAGCTGATTGGTTGAATATTCACAGTGAAACATATCCTGATATTGCATTTTTTTCGCTCCTTAGTGTTGGAGGAACAATAGACAGACACTATCATTTCCTCAATTTCTCAATGAATTTTCACCTGTCAGCTAACTCACTTCGGCTCTGATTAGCTCATTGCGGGGAGATTTGATTCGGGTTAATGTTAATCTCTGGGGTCCAGATAATTATACATTTGAATATGTACACCCTCCCACACTTCCACCTGCTACAGTCATCGTTGTCAATCCTAAACTCCGAGAGTTGTGAACCACGAGAATACTAACCCGCAACCAAAGCAATCACTCTTCCAGTCTGTAGGGTGTGTTTTACCCAGGTATGGACTCTCAAATACTGTTTGTATGATATAGTTCCTTTACATTATTGTTATTAAGTATATAAGAGGTTATGGCATAAGATTTTATGTTGTGGATTTTTGTTTGATGAATTTAGTCTCATAGGGATTTTATTTATTGGGTTTCATGTAGGTATTTTATTTTGGGAACATTTTATGTAGTGGATTTTGTGCGTTGAAAAACCGATGTATACGATTTTTGTCTAATGGATTCTTTATAGTGTTTATATATATATATATATATATATATATATATATATATATATATATATATATATATATATATATATATATATATATATATATATATATATATATATATATATATATATATAGATGTATATATATGTATATATATGTATATTATATTGTGTAGATGAAGACTGTTATGATGAGATTTCTAACATCATGAGAAACTTAACTCTGGAATTTTGTGTTATGACAAACGAAAACTGTACAGTATAATGTAAATGGATTATATTTACTGTGATTTTCGTGTGCATTGTAGCATTGTTGTACAGGTAGTAAAATTCAGAACACTGGGATGTTCTTTTGTAGTGTGTGTGTGTGTGTGTGTGTGTGTGTGTGTGTGTGTGTGTGTGGAGCAGAAGATAAAACACTGACCGTAGTAAAAAGAGGCCTCAGAGCTGCCATGATCACGAGAGAGCCAATACACACTGTGGCTCCCCTCCACACACTCCCTGCTTTATATATTAACTTTCAATACTACTTTCACCCCCCTAAGCCACTCCCACCCTGGTGAACCTGCTTGCCTCCTCCCTCCTTCTCTCCTCTTTCTTAGAACCTGCTCCACCCTCCTTCCCCCTCCCTCCTTTCTCCTCCTTCCCTCATCCTGCTGAACCTACTGCCTCCCATTCTTTCCCTTCTGCTGAACCCACTGCTCCCTCCTGCTGAACCCACTGCTCCTCCCTCCCAAGGAACCTACTCGCCCCCCAGTCCTGGGCTGAACCCACCACCTCCATCCCTCTGGCTGAACCCACTACCTCCATCCCTCCACTGCTGAACCCACTTACCCACTCCTCTGCTGAACCCACTGGCTCCATCCTCCACCGCTGAACCTACTACCTCCATCCTCCCCTGCTGAACCTACTGCTCCATCCCTCCCCTGCTGGAACCTACTGCTCCATCCCTCCTCTGCTGAACCCACTGCCTCCATCCCTCCCTGCTGAACCTACTTCACCCATCCTCCCTCGCTGAACCTTACCACCTCCATCCCTCTGCTGAACCCACTTCCTGCCCCATCCCTCTCTGCTGAACCTTACTGCCTCCATCCCTCCTGCTGAACCCACTGCCTCCATCCCTCCTCAAGGAACCTATCACTCCATCTCCCTGCTGAACCCACGCCCATCCTCTCCCTGCTGAACCTATCGCCTCCATCCCTCTGCTGAACCTACTACCTCCATCTCTCCTGCTGCTGAACCTACTACCTCCATCCCTCCCTGCTGAACCTACTACCTCCATCTCTCCCTGCTGAACCTACTACCTCCATCCCTCCCTGCTGAACCTACTACCTCCATCTCTCCCTGCTGAACCTACTACCTCCATCCCTCCCTGCTGAACCTACTGCCTCCCCCCCTCCTGCTGAACCTTTCTCTATCCTCCAAGTTCTCAAGAAGGTTCACATAAACCAAACTTACATAAAACAATCAACTACTGCACTGGATGACTATTAATTCATGAACATATATTAATCATAAACAGTTGTGTTTATTAAATATTAAATATATGTTTGTTTGTTACAGGTGAGTTGAAGACTAAACCTTGGGAAATTGAACTGCTGCATCACAACTGAAAATTATATTTGAAGCCTGTGATAATGAACTGCTATTGTAGAACTTATTTCCAATGCAGCTGGGTATATAGAGTGTTGGTGAGGTTTTGCAATAAGGTTGGCTGAGATGGTTCAGGCATGTGGAGAGAATGGATGAGACCAGTTGGGTCAAGAGGTGCTTGAGTCTAAACATCGAGGGGGGAGAGCCAGAGGCAGGCTGTTTCATTATCTGTTTATCCTTCATACACTTTTATACACCTACCATTCACTCGTTTCTTCATTTATTTTTCTCTAATTCACATAGTTGTTGTTGTAATTCTATTTATTCTTATTTGTTTTCATCATTTATTTACAAATTTAGTTCCTTAGTTATCCTATTTATCGAATTAGTTCTTGAATGAAATGTAAGAAATTTTCTGATAATTCATATAATTCTAGGTGAAATGCAATTAGTTATTCTCTTAAAACGACTTTATTTATTTGAATATTACTTGTAATAACGAAATTGTATCAATAATTAAACTAAGATCTCAATCCGTTTCTCTTGCTTATATCAAAAGTACATTACTGTACTTTATTACACACGTTCATTTCTTTATAACATTCGTGCCTTTCATCAGGGCTTTCTTGGGGCTTTCCTCTGGGCTTTCCTGGGGGTTTTCTGGGGCTTTACTGGGACTTTCCTCGGGGCATTCCTGGAGTTTTCTTTGGGGCTTTCCTGGAGCTCTCCTCGGGGCTTTTCGGGGGAGTTCCTGGCACTTTCCTCGGGGCTTTCATCAGAGCTATCTTGGGGCTCTCCTCGGGGCTTTCCTGGGGCTTTCTTCGGGGCATTCCTGGGGGGTTTCTTTGGGACTTTCCTAGGGGATTTCCTCAGGCTTTCCTATGAGTCACCTGGAATCATTATGAGTACAATTAAATCCCTCGAAGACAACACCAAGTTTAAAAGGACAGGTTGTGAGTAAAAGAATTTGGCCTGATGACCCAGTTATGTTATTACTTCTGGAATTTGTTGTTTTCATCAAGGTAATACAGCAATACTTTATTAAAATACAGGTGTTAGAGGTGTTTTTTGAGTAGTTGAAGAATAGGTGAAATTGAAGCGAAGGTATAGAATCAGATTAGTCATAATGTTAAAATTATACTACGAACATTATTTCTGTATCATCTATTTTTCTTCGTAAGACACAAGTAAAATTAACCTATACTAATTCAAACTAATTTAGTGATCGTAAAAGAGTTCTTAAGTACATTAAATATGGTTTTATTGGTTAATATCATCTATGTTCAAGCAAGAAAAAAAACTATTTAGCGGTTTTGTTCGTGGTAATTCTTCAGCATTTTTTGTTTTGTCGGACGTCTTCCCAAGTCAGCCAGCAGCTAACACAATGGCGGCGTGGACGGAGGTGAGAAGTTATTTCAACATTTCCTTTGATATTCTTCCTTCTTTAATATCCATATATGTAAATAAACAACAAAATATATACCATTTATGATAATTATTTATATTTTAGTGTAATTTAATCACTTTAGGTAATTTCATATATAAATTTCAGTCTTTACACTCGCTTGTAAACATGGCGAATGTGTCTTGAGGAAATTTGGTTTTGTATTGCTGTAATATTGTATTGTCAGGATTTAACTGTGTATTAATATGGTGGAGTTATGGCCAGGGATTATGGTGGTGTAAGATAGAGAGCCTTATATGGGGGGGGGTTAACAGTAGGCAGGGGCTGTTTGACTGCTAACCGGTCATATAGCCATTAACTGTTTTACTGTGGGTTATGTATAATTTTGATATGTATTGCATCTGCATTATTATACCATATGAATAATTATTTAATATGTTTGTGTGTGATCTAATGTGTACGTTTGGATTTACCTATTGATATTACTAATATTATTTAAATAACTAATAAATTATAAGTATCGTTGAAAAAATATCTGGTAATTTATGAGAACACCGCTGCCACAGATGTTATTATGATAGTATTTTAAAGGAGACAAAAACTTTTTATTTTAATTATAAGTTTTTTGGTTAATATTCGTTTTTATCCCAATAGGTATTTCTGACATTATGGATAAATTAAATTTTTACCATATTTTTGTATTTATTTATTTATTTTTTTATTATCTATAATCATATAGCACCTGTCGTGGGCAGGGTGTAAAGGACGAGGTAAATTGTGGGGTAAAACACGGTATAAAACTGATCATATGACACTATAATATCTCTAGGTGCTTTGTACATGAAGGAATTAATTATTTACTGTAATTCATATTCCGAACAAATCTGCTGAGTCACTGTGTGCCTCTGTTTACAGCCGACCCGCTCAGTTGAAGTATACGCTCACATCCTCAAAAAATATAAAATTCACCATGATGTTTCAACAATGATATTTTCAGTGGTAGCAGATATAAAATAAGAACTGTACCTTGTTTAATATGGCGGTGTGGGCCAGCCAGGCAGTCAGATAAGGTTAGGTAGGTATCTTTGGTCGGTTAGGTCACGTTCTATTAGGTTCTAGTAAATGTCGCCGTTTTTAAAATACGGACTGGTATTATTTAAGATTTTGTCGTCTTAGGAATTTAGGTTAGGCAAGATATAGTTCCTGGGTTATTTGGTTAGGTTAGGTGAGATCAAAAACATTCGAAACACTTCAAAACTATCAGAAAAACATAGGGATGACAAACTGAAGTTTTACCTACGTACTATAGTGATAAGAACATCTGTGGAAAAACTGAACAACTCCTTCTGGTGGCAGCGGTGTTCTCATACATGACCAAATGTCTCGAAGGGTTCTGAAATAATACTAAGTACTTCTGGTCTCGGAAAATTCTACATAATATTTTATTGTCAATTTCAAACTGTTATAAAACAGAGATCGATCAAATAGAAATAATACTGTAATGATACTACATACAAAATTAAGGATACAAGGAAGGTAAGATGAGATTAAATTATAAATCAATTTGTTAAGAAAACCAACACCTCAAAGTATAACAGTTATGGTGCTGTATAGGCCTAAAAAAATGTGATCTGACCTTACCTAACCCAACCCGACCTACATTATTATATGTCTATGAGAGAGGCGGGAAATTTCGGAGTATCAGAAGATAATTAAAGAAGATAGTGATAAATACTCAACGTTTAAATAATAGTGTAATGACTAGTCCAGCAAGTTTCGCGCATATCACTTTCACAGTTCACACCAACACTACATTTTTTCTGTATTGTGTGTTTATCACGTACGTTTTTAGTTTTAAACGCTGTTTTCCCCATTGAACATGTCTGGAAAACGTTCATCTGTCTCCTCTGGGGTGCCTTAAGCTAGAAAGGCACGAAAAACAATCGCAATGGACGTGAAATTAATTGTGATCACCAGCCTTCAGAGTGGAGAGCGTGTCAGAAGTTGGCCGCGTGCTTGGTTTAAGTGAGAGCACTGTTTTTACCCTGTGTGGTATATGATGGTTCTCCTAACTTGTACCATTTACTATTCTTATGGGGAAATTTTTTTAAATTTACGCATTTTTTAATTAAGCGGTGGTTTTCAAGAACGTAACCCCTGCGTAAAACGAGAGGTGGGTGTAATAGTAATATTATGAACAATCCAAGCTGGTCCCAGTCAAATAACCGATAGTTATTTGGCCAGCTGGCATGGTCAAATAGCCGATGGTTATTTGGCCATCAACAGTCTTCCAAACACATGTTCTTATAAACATCACTGTCCAGATTCATGAGCCTATTGTCTGTGTAAATCCTTTTTGTTCTTTAGGTACAATAGGATCTTAAACCTATTCTGTGAACAGTATACATGATGAGAATCATATTGTTGGAATGGAATCCCGTAATGTGGGTTTTGATACATTTCCAATTTCTTTCAAGTAGTATTGTTTAATAAGTGAG